CCACCTTTCCAGATTTTGCTCCGTCACAACAGGGTAAGGCCTTGCATAAGTGCATGTAGAGCTGAGAGGCAGAACAATCGAACTGACTTCAATCTGTAGATGGAATACCAGTCTAACGTCTGATGATGTCTATCGTAGACTTCCCGCCGACGGCGGTCTGTGGCACAAGGAAGAGTCAGTGATTACTCCCTTCTTCGGTATCTGGGATCGGTCAGCTGCCAAGATGGGCAACTCCATTGCCTTCTTACCTGCGCACTATCCTAGTCCGGAGCAGACGGTCGACGCGCCACCGCAAACCCCCATCACCACTCATCCTTGCAAAGGTCCCAACACGGTCGACATGACCACAGTCGGAGCGTTTGCATACTGCATAGAAGCGACTGAGTCTCTTAGTAGAGTCACGACGTACTTTCTTCAACAGAAGATCAACTTCCTGGATAGACAGGAAGTCAGCAGCTGGCTTACTCGGTTCAAGGAGTTAGATCTGCGTCTAGTGCAGTACGTTTGAAGCCGCGCCTTGCCAATTCATCATGCTGACAAGACTTTAGCTGGAAGATGTTCCTGCCTCAGAAGTGGAAGGACTCCAACATCTCTCGCCAACCCGCTCTCATCAACATGGACCCTAACCTCACGCTCGCACACATTACTCACAACACTTCAATGATTCTCCTCCACCAACGCATAGCTTATCCAGAGCCTCGTTGGTCTAACATAGTGAAGCTCCCTAGCTTCTGTAGCGCCGAAACTTGCCAGGAGGCCGCAGTCGAGACGACAACCATTACTGAGAAGTACTTAAAGTACACCCCCGAAAACAGCCCGGCTACCAGTCAATTCGCCTTTTGCGTCTTCATCAGCGCCAGAGTACTCCTCGGTACGTGAATGTGAACTCGTAACTAAAACGATCATATCCTAACGCTTCTCAGTCCATTGGCGGTACTACGACGCTGAGCTTGCCCCGGAATTCTGGACCCTGGTTGAGAGCATGGAAGAAATGGCCAAGCGCTGGGTTGGGCCCATCCTGAAAGAAAAGCACGCCCAGTGTCTCGCTGGCAAATACGCTGCGCAGCTCCGCGACCTCCATCGCAAGTGCCAAGCAGATCCCCAATTCACTGTCGATGTCTTGGGATACTCAAGCGGTGTCACCGGTCAAGGGTGCAGTCCTGCTGCTCAGACGCCAGCTTTCAGCCACCAGCAGGGCAATGCCTTGTTTGCTCAGAGTTCCAACAGGATGGCGCCGCCCGTTTCAAGTCCATTGGCACCGAACCAGACGACAGGACTATCGCAACCTCGGCCGCCGCCCATCTTCCCAAATCAGCAGCCGCAGGGCCAGATGAGGCAGGGCTCGATGATGGGTCCTATGGGATCTCCCATGCCGATGACTGGGTTTACCCCGAGAGATTCGGATGCGCCCGATGAGCTTTCTGCCATCTCTCATATGCTGATGGATCAAAGATTCATGGAAATGGACAGGATCATCAGTTTTGATGACATGATGTTCACCGCACAAACGGCGAACAATGGTAATGCGTCCATGCCAGTCAACGGCTGGGGTCCTGTTGATAATACACAGCTGGACTGAACAAGTGTTGAAGGAGTGCTCATGCGAAAAACGATTTCATATTCTATTCGTGATACCCTCATTTAGCCCGTACATACACAAAGCACTATGAATCTACACCAATCCCATCTTAAGTAGTCTGTTGCCGAACTCAATCAAGTAGTAGTCACCGTAAACCAAGCCATGATCCCAGTATCTCTTGTGGTCCCGTGTGTTGTGGTTTGCCGTAGCGTTCTTCAGGATAGCATCAAAGGTCTTGCCCTCCTCGACGTCTTTGGTTGAGATCTCGCCATTGCTAAAGACGAACTTGGCCTTCTCCATCGCCAGCGAGAAGTCGAGGGTATCCTTCACGATCGTGATAGCCATATCCCGGTACCTCGCGCTCTCCTTCACCAGGCCCTGTCCGGCCAAGGCCTGGGACAGAACCAGCATACCGTTGGCGGCGATGATACCTGCGGATGAGTCTCTCAGAGGGAACTCCTCGTTCTCGATCGGCGCGTCAAAGTCCCAGAGCGGGACGTATCGGCCCTTTGTTCTGTTCTCGCCCTCCACGGGGAATTCGACAGACTTTGGTGACGTCTCCAGTCGCATGAAGAAGTATTCTGCGAGGCCACGGGACACCTCCAAGAACTCCTCATCACCGGTCCACAGGAACGTCTGAGCGTAGCCAAGAATACCCCACGCCTGGCCTCTCGCCCACGTTGACTCGGCGGCGTATCCCTGGCCCGTTCTTCGCTCCTTGATTTCACCGTCCTTGGGATTAAAGTTGACGACGTGAACGTTGCTGTACATCTTCTCTTTGATGATGCCTCTGGAATCCTTTTCAAGGCGGAGGTTCGACTTGATCAACGTCTTGGCGTGTCTTGTTGCGGCATCCCATAGCTCTTGCTCGCCGGTGTGAGATGCAGCGTAGTAGAGCAGGTCCAGGTTACACATCGAGTCGATGATAACGAGGAAGTCGTCCGTCAAACTCGTAATAGTGACACCATGCTGGGTCAGCGCGTCCCATGACCGAATGGCTCCGACAGTTGAGTTGTACCGTGTGTAGAGAGCCTTGGCCGCGGTTACGATGGAGTCTAAAGCCTGCTTGTCTTGGGCAACCTCCCACCTCACTCTCATTGACGGCTGAATCATGAATGACATGTCGTGGGTATCCGTGCGCTTGGCCGTGGTGTGGAGGGGTTCTGACCATGAGGCGCCGAGCGACCATAGCTTTGACAGCAAAGCCGCCTTGTCTTGCCCACCGGGCATGGTATGAGGGAACTTAACTAGTCTCTCAATGAGGGAGTAGATGTTGCCTGGGAAGAAACCACACGTCCAGAAGTCGGCCTCTCGCAAGATGTACTTGCCGGCTTCCGGGCCCGTCTGGAGGACGTACTCTGGGTATGCCAAAGGAGGGTCCTGTACGTTATGAGAAATTGACATCTCGGGATGAGAGCATTGCAACTTACATTGTTCACAAGTGCATCTGTGGCTGTCCGGAAGATTTTGGCAGTGACGTTCTCCTCGAACAAGCCCCCGACTTGTTCTCTAATGGGCTTTGATTGTGCCATCTTCCGTCTCAAGGTAGTGACAGACCTGCCTCCTGATTCTGAGATGCTAGTGTCGCTATCAGCATTGAGCTCGGTGGTGCTGTCAGACTCGGCATAGGTCACGTCCTTCGGGGATGAGACGTCATCCACCGGGATGGAGGTGTGTCCACTGAGATGCGCCATGTTGATAGAGATGATTCAGAATACTCTACTGTAATAGAGGCAAAGCATTGAGACATTCACTTACGAACTAGGTGACCCTGGAACACTCGGGGCTAGAGTCTTATAAGGGCGTGAGTGCGAGTTAGATCAGCGTGGAAGTAAGCCGGAACTCTGTGTTGACGCCGAATGAAGGAAGCACGGTATCTTCGGTCTGTCGCTCGGGACAAGACGTTGTATTCTTCGCAGCGGACTTGCGGCGAGATCCAAGATTGAGGCGTTCGGTCGAAGCGTCGGGGAACCAAAGTCTGGTTGGAGCGGTAATCGGGTGGTGGTGCAGTCTCTACGCGGAGGATTTGTCGTCCGGACGATCGCCCGATGCCCGAAGTCGAGATCTTGACAGCTGTGATTCTTCCGACTTGGCTCTCTGGAGTCTAACTTTATTGCGAAGACATTGTCATCACGTTCTCGAGCTTATACATATAACCTGTCATCCTCCTTGATCTTGCAAGTTTGGCGATACAGGTCAATGATCCTGATCTTAGGTCAAACTGTGCGACCCGGCACAGCCGCCTACCGGTCGGCGTGTAACTTCCTCGCTATGTTGCACGACCATCCATCCGTACGAGTTCAAAGAATTGGAATTATTTTCACCATCTGGAGTCTCAAAGCTTGAAGGCCAAGTTGTCTGCGGTTTCATTTGGTTTACTGTCTCTCTCGCAAGTTCGTCTGGGTTGCAATTCGTGCTCACGAGCAGGGTTCGCTGATTGTCGGACTGTCGGTGTTGTCCCCGTGAACAGGCCCTGCCTCTAAGCCGTAAACGCCGGCACTTTCATTGGCATGATTGATTGACATGGCGAAAACACGAGAACCAAGCTGTCGGTACAACTTCCTATGGTGTGCATATACGGATAGCCTCCGCGGTGATTTGAGAGTCCAGGGACGCAGCAACGGTTTGACTCAAGTAGGTGCAGAATTTCAAGAGCTAGAGAGATAGCAACACCGAGGCGCGACGGCAGCTCCGGGTGCCTGTCAGCAAACCTGGAAACCACGCATTGGAACACTTCAGGCCAGTTGCGCGGCTAGATAACAGCACATGGGACATATCGTTGTCCTAGATATTCTCGTTATCCACCCAAACAAGTCCGAACAGCCGGCAACGGCAATGTTACCCGACAACGTGGTTCATCTAATATGGTCCATTCGTACTGAACCCCTGTGACGTGAGCAGCAGTTCGGCTTGGCGGCTCAGTGGGAGTCTGGAGATCTCCACGTCCTCCACGCCATGCTGTAGGGCTGAGCAGCTCATTCAGCTTGACGCAACGCTCGGAAAAGATACCAAACGTCGCGATGTCTTCGCACGCACCGCGCTGTTATCAGGCTTGTCCGGAAAACCCCCACAGGCTGACGAAAAGTTTATCAGTTAGCTCATTTCAATAATCCCGCTCATCGTCACGAATGTTACCCCAACCAGCTAGAAGAGATTAATCGACCCCACAAAGTGGATGTTGCACGACGTCGCGGACGCCGCCGCCAACACCCGCGTAAACCTCTCTCACCTTGGCAAAGCCCAGTATCTACCAGACTGAGGTTCTCAGCACCGGTAAGCGAGTAGGAAGAACCATGATTAGCTAAAATGAGGTAAAGCGAGAAGTTGGCAGAGCGAGGCCTCTCTCCAATCGCCGCCAACTTGTTTATAACGCGGCAGCGGCCCGGCCGCCGTGAGAAATGAATGGCTTCCTCCGTTCCCCCAGCTCTCGGCCCGTTCTTCACTGCCGGCAATCATACCCTCACTTTGGTCTTTTCTGGCTAGCTGCAGCTCTATTCAGTTACTAGCTCCATCACCAGTATCGTCAACATGAAGACCTCTATGAACCCCATCGTTGCCTCGCTCGGGCTGGCCATCGCCCGTGGCGTCGCGAATGCCGCTCCGTCGGTCTACGCCTCCAACCACAGTGCCGGCCCCGAGTTGAAGCACTGGCCGGCCGAGGCGGCCAAGGCTCTCAACACCATGATCGCGGCCAACGCCAACCAGAGCCAATACGCCGTCTTCGACATGGACAACACCAGCTACCGCTTCGATCTCGAGGAGTCGCTGCTGCCGTATCTCGAGAGCATCGGTGTCCTTACCCGTGACACCATGGACCCTACTCTGAAGCTCATTCCGTTCAAGGACACGGCAAACCACACCGAGACGTTGTACAGCTACTACCTCCGCCTGTGCGATATTGACGAGATTATTTGCTACCCGTGGGCTGCTCAGATCTGGAGCGGTATTCCTTTGCGGGAGCTCAAGGAGCACGTGGACGATCTCATGGCTCTGAACCGTACCATTCCTACCACTTACTACGACGGCGACGTTATCACCCCCACCGAGGTCAGCCCTCCCAAGATCTTCACCGGCCAGGTTGAGCTCTACAACAAGTTGATGGCCAACGGCATCGACGTCTACGTTATCACCGCCGCTGCTGAAGAACTGGTCCGTATGGTCGCTGCCGACCCCAAGTACGGCTACAACGTCAAGCCTGAGAAAGTCATCGGCGTCACCATGCTCATGAAGAACCTGACCTCCGGCGATCTCACCACCAGCCGTAAGCAGATCGAGGACGGCGTCTACAACGAGGAGGCCAACCTGGACCTCGTCATCACTCCCTACCTCTACACTCCTGCTACCTGGATGCAGGGCAAGTGGGCGGCGATCCTCACTTACATCAACGAGTGGCAGGGACCTATCTTGGCTGGTGGCGACACCCCCTCCAGCGACGGCCCCATGATCTTCCACGGCGTCAATGTTGCTAGGGGCGGCATTCACCTCTGGATCAACCGCAAGGACAGCGCCATGGCGACCATGAACGAGATGATTGTGAACAACACTGCTGCTCAGAAGGCGAACAACCTCCCTGTCACTGCAGACAAGAACTGGGTTATTGTTACTCCTACGGAGATTCAGTAAATCTAGGAGCAAAAGATAGACGCAGCCGCAAAGGCATAACAGAACTAGATGATCAATGTAATGTTTTATCATGCAATTCACCACGAGGCTTCGTCTTTAGTACTTCTAAGACTGTACACATGTCGAATTCGACCAGCAGAACTAACAGTGCAGAAAGATGACTTGCAGTCTGGGGCCATAGAAAACACCCCCAAACCGTAAACTTGAGTAATAAGCACTTGCTCTCACTCACGGCCACCATCGTTGCTAATATACCACACAGACGGGCGTACTACTCTCTGCAACTCGAGGATTGACTTCAAACTGCTCAGAAGAGTCAAATCTGAGACGGTCCAACAAGCAAAAAAGGAAGTGCAGTCTCTGAGGACAGAGACTATGGACGATCTGGGAATCGAACCCAGGACCTACCGCATGCTAAGCGGTCATTATACTACTAAACCAATCGCCCATTCTCTGATCTAGCCCGGACTTGAACCGGAGACCTTCAGTGTGCCAGGTGAAGCGCAAGATGCGTTCACGATGTTAGACTGACGTGATAACCAACTACACCACCAGACCATGTGTTTGTTGCAAGGATCATGCGAATGAGGGCTTGAGTAACCTGCGGGTCTGCGCGTTGTGGAAAAGGCCCAGCCTCTGTGGGGTGGGAAGGCTTTTACCCACTCAGATTCAACCGAAAGCACTTAAGCATCGCCTGCTTCTCACCAAAGGGTGGCAGGTGGGTTCTGAATGGAAATAGAGGATCAAGCTCATTCAAGAGTGATGCGCAATAGTAAAGTTTATGAACTGTCCGGAGCTAGAAAGCTGTTGAGCATTTAAGAACACTATCCTTGTTGGCACCCAGCCCAGCCCAACTTTGCCAAGTCCAGCTGCTACGGGTGACTTAAAAGTGCTCCGGAACTCTCATGGCCCAATCATTCCACTCATTTCTTCGCTGTCTTTCTTCCCAACCCCTTCCACGATTTGTTCTAGCTTCAACCTACCCATTCATGGAAGTCATGCCCGGGGAAAAGACCCCAGACACGGGGCTTAAAGCCTGTAGCAGACTTATTCTGTGCCGCAAGCTAACCAAGCAGGCCCACCTTGTTTGCTACATGTTTGCAGCTGAAGATAGCAGCCCAGCAAACCAACCAATGCCACAGGTCCGAAAGGGCGCCTTTGCACGAAAGCATCTTGGCCTGCATGCTTTTACATGGTTCTAATCACTGCCGAGGCCAGTCAAATCGCCCCAACGTGACGTTGGTTGTTGGAAGGCGGAAACGTTATGTTCTCATTCGTCAGCGAGACAGACATTGTGCCAGGTGATCAAGCGGCACAATGGTGCTGAAGAACCTGGAAGTGTCTGTGTTGGAACTGCTGTTGGCGTTTAATCCGGTTCCTCCGGCGTTCTACTGAGAGAAGGCGGCAGCTTTCCCTTATAGTTGTGGTCGTTACCCCCTCATGAATTTGTAAATTGTTGAAAACTAATCTTTACAGTTGTTGACCCGGTGCACTCGCCATGAGGGTCACACTTTTGCACCCCGAAGATGACTTCGATCGAAAGGCCATGGCCATGGCATTAGTTGGAGCTGCAGGGGTTCTCGTAGTCTGCAACGTAAAATCCACTCTGTCTGACAAACGCTACTTATCCCCAGCTGACTGAAGTAGCTTTTATTACAGTACCTCAACTCCCCTCTTAAACATATTCCTGGACCTTGGCACACACGATGCTCAAGACTGAGGTTGAAACTTAGCCGGTTGACTGGAACCCGCATGACATACGTACACCAGCTCCACGAAAGGTACGGAAGCATTGTCAGGATCGCACCGAATGAAGTATCATGTATCGACATCCAATCAGTTTCCCAAGTCTACAAAGTTGGCGGCGGTTTCGAAAAGGCGCAATGGATTGGCGACTATGCAAAGAAGCTTCCAGCCCTGTCCTTGTCTATGATTCTGAACAGCGAAGAGGCGAAGCAGCGACGGAGACTTTTGCAAGGCTCTTTCACTCTTGCGTCCCTACGGAAAAATTGGGAATCGACTATTAGGAGTAAAGTTGAGCTTGCAGTCATGAAAATCGAGACAGAGGCCTTGGCAGGCTCATCAAACTCGCACAAGTGGTGGACGTATATGGCCGCTGATGTCATCAGCCAGCTCTCATTTGGGCAATCATTGGGGGTGCTGGAAACTGGAAAGGTATGAAAGAACATATACCTATCCTTAGATCTGACCAAGGTACTGACAGACTAATCACATGTACCACGTTGTAGAGTACGATGTACATGCGAGCCATTGAGAATGCCCTGATAGCGGACGTCATCCAGTGCGAGATACCATTCCTCGCCTCTCTATCCCAACTAATACCCCGGTCACTGCTTCAGACATTCTCCCGGCAGCTTGAGCAAGTCAGGCTTGGTGGTGCAGACGGAGTAGCGAGTGTCAAACAGCGAGGGCCATCATCAACCCAAAGTATCTTTACGGAGATGATTGCAGAATGTGACAGTGAAGGTCGGACTTGGTTGACAAAGGAGGCTGTCGGAATGGAGGGTGCAGGTATGATGGTTGCAGGAACAGACACAACCGCTGCTGTTCTGACCTATCTCATCTGGTCGGTGTTGAAACAGCCAGTCCTGCAAGAAAAGCTTGAGGATGAGATCGCACTACTCGGCGATGATTTTGACGATAAACGACTTGAGGCGTGCCTCATACTAGGCGCCGTTATAGAAGAGACCTTGCGCTTATATCCCGCCGTCCTCTCATCTCTACCAAGGCTTATTCCGGAAGGGGGGATTACGCTGTCATCGCACTTTGTGCCTGGAGGTACTGTTGTTTACAGCCCGGCCTACAGTCTGCAGCGCGACCCTAAAGTATTCCCGGATCCTCATCGGTACGCTTACCTAGAACATCCATCTGAAAAGGCACTAGTTGACTCGAGACTGTCTAGATTCGATGTTGATAGATACCTTGACCCGACCAAAGTTTCCCTCCAACAAAGGCAAGCATACATCCCCTTGGGAGCTGGGGCCAGAGTCTGCATTGGTCAATATCTGGCAATGATGGAGCTCCGTCTTTCCACCGCCGTATTCTTCAAAAGATGTCGCGGTGCAAGACTAGGCCCAAATATGCCAGCCGACAGCATGGAAATGAAGGATTACGTTCTCCTATCGCCGAAGAGGAAGCGATGCGATGTCATCTTGATTTAGAGAAGCAAACCCAACGACCGTCGGCTTACAAGGATATTTCCCAAAGAAATTCTTTCGGTATAATTTCAACGCAAGTTGGGAGAGTTCACAGAGCACTGGCTTTTTGACAAGGAAATAATACAAATACGGCATACCAGGTAGATACATTAGCCATGTCTATATGAGAGAGCATCTGCTCGTCATTGAATTATCTCGGAAACTTTTCTGTCAACCGATCGTATGTTCTTTTCAAGAATAAACGCTTCTTTCTTGCAGACATATTTTCATGGCCGAGGTCGCGACCACATCCAAAGCCAACTCATTCTAGATTCGCCAAGGTCGCCGGATACAGTCTGCCGGGGAGAATTTTTCCAGATCTGCGCTAAGTCAGTCACCTTACCCAGAGATCTGTTTCCGTGATGGACTAAATGATTCACGGTAAAGCGCCACCACTATGGCCAAAGGTGCAGCCCCTAACAGTTGATGACGTCGTTGAGCCGGAGCCGGCGTCATCGCCTAATAGCTAAGTTTCAAAAGGTTACGAAAACTCGACATCATCACTAGCGCTTTCAATACCCCGCTAGTATCAATTGCCTTATTATCAAGCTCTCCTGGATCTTGGATCCATATATGCTGCATCCACCGTCACCTCGGCTATATTGCATGTAGCCGGCGACCCTCTTAAACAGCCTTAGAAGATCCGGACTACTACATCATCGTCAATTCATCAATCATTATTTCAATCCGACAATACGAAAACATGGCTCCCTCAGAAGACAACCTAGGATTCAAATGTGCGGTCATCACCGGTGGTGGTGGTGGCATCGGCAAGGTGATGGCCAAGCACTTCATTTCCAAGGGCAAAAAGGTCATCATCGCCGGACGCACAGAATCGAAACTGCAAGAAACAGCAAAAGAAATCGGGGCTGTTGACTATTACGTTCTGGACACGGGCAAGATTGAACAGATCCCCGACTTTGTCAGACGTGTCACCAAGGAACACCCCGACCTAGACTGCCTCGTCAACAACGCCGGGGTGCAACGTCCTCTGGAGATTCTCAAGGACGACGATTTCCTCTCGAAGGCTGACCAAGAAATCGACATCAATATTCGAGGACCGATGCATCTGGCTCTAGGCCTGTTACCACACCTTCAGACCAAGGAATCCGCACTCATCATCAACGTATCGAGTGTACTTGGCTTCATTCCATTCTCCATCATCAACCCCGTCTACAACGGCACCAAAGCTTGGCTGCACTTTTGGAGCATGAATCTTCGCACACAGCTCAAGAACGGCGGTTCCAAAGTCAGAGTTGTAGAAATTGCGCCACCGACAGTAGCAACTGACCTGCACCGAGAGCGATCGGATCCAGACGACAACAAGAAGGCGAATAATCCGGATGCTCTCAGCGTGGATGAGTTCATGGAGGAAGTTGCAAGTAAATTGGAGGACGGTGTCGAGACCATCGGGCCGGGCATGGCTGGAGAGGTCATTGGCAGATGGTATGGTGCGTTTGGTGATCAATACGCAAAGGCGGCAGGGAGCAAATAGTTGGATCATTCCTCAAAGCGAGCAGATATCACACGCATCACCTAAACATGACTTCTCAATCTGAAATGACATCCCTTATTAAAGGTCCCGAGGATATGAACGACTCACTGGAACTTAATACGGAGTATGACGGACAATGCGAAAGGGTGCCCAGCAGAAGCATCACGATATTCCGATATGAAGGGGCTATTCAGTCGCAGGTTCCGTGAGGGCACATCCCATTCGTGAGCTTGTTCTATGACCCGATGTAAGATTATTTCGTCAACAGTATGTTTCCCGCACACTTCTGAAACCTTCACATCTTGTCATGGATCACCGGTGCGCTCCTTGCGCAAGTCTTACATTCGAGGCCTTGATGGAGCTTGCCCAGGCTGGCTTCCGAGCTGATGAGTTTCCCAAAGAGGTATTCTATCAGCGCCATGAATTGTACTTCGCTTGACACAAACCGCAAATAACGGCTGCAATTCATGTCAACTCGTCCTTGAATGAGAGTGTACAGCAACATCATCATCAGGCGTCGGAGACTGTCCGCTTCAATCACTGCGTTGAGCTACTTCGTAATGTTCGTCTGTGTCAGTCTGACTTAACCGTTAAGGATGCGAATCCGCAATCTTCTCTTCTCGCCCTTGCCAGCATCCTACACCTTGTTCTGGGCACCCTTGCCGGAGTCAATACTGACAATCTCACCCGTTGCCAAGAGGCACTCTTGGATTCCTGCAAGATTATTTTGAGGCCTTTGTTCTCCTCGAGCAGCTGTGAAATAGTAAACCGGCTCACTTGACATGCTCAGTGTGGCCAATATCCCGGCAGTAAGGGGGTCGAGATTGGCCCGCTGGAGGTTCCATGTAACTCTACTCTCCTCGCTACTCGCGATGAGTCCACCGACTTGGACACCATCTGGACGCACGAGTACGCGAAGAAGAGACATGAGGGCATTGACGAGGACGGTGTTGAGGTTAATCGTGACGGGATCACTGGTCTCAACACCAACTCATTGAAAGCGTACGCGTAAATATTTTAGGGTATTTTAGTACGATCCATGTTATAATCTCTTCAGAGAGGTCGTATTGTTGGGGGAGCGAGTTGGGATAAACAGTCTATAGGTGTTGCCAGCTTTTGTCATTTGACACGAGGGCAGAAGTACAACAAAACCTCCTGGTTACAACGATCACTGGCCTCGGGGGGGGAGTTCATGGGCGGTTTTACCTCTCGCAGATTGCGTATCCTGAATGATAGCGTGTTCAGGTGTAGTACCGGTTGCGCCGGAAGCGTGCGCACATCCTCGGATCTCAGATTCGCTATTTGATTACAAGCTGTCGAAAACCACCACCGTCAGCGCTCCAGCGAAAGGATATTACCTGCCTAAATCTGCTAGCTTGTATTCGATTGAGATGGAGACGACTTATTCTCTGATCCCTGGTGGCTGCGCCGCAGGTCTGCAGCTGGTAAGTCGCGGGACCGACGTCCGGCAACCATAAATATCCAAGGCTCTCCCAGCCTTTGCTTCCTCTGAAGTGTGAAATTTTACCCTAGACTTTCTTGTCACGTCGAAAGTAGCTATGGCCTCTAACGAAGAGGTTGAGGCAATCGCCTCTGACGCAGACTTCGAGATCATCACAACCTTTGCTTACTCGGCAGGTCTCCCCTACAACGAGGCATCTCTGCCGGAATCATACTGCTACCTGCTTCAGTATGGTATCGATCGTCTACAAGCTGCGGCGTCTGATCTGTCATGGGACGCCGTGACTGAGGACTTGCGTAGCATCGACCGTGTCCAATCATTGTCCAAGCAGGTCAGCGCCCACATGCTTTCAACCCACGGCGAAGCGTCCAAGGACCCGGGCAGACGCTTCATCGTGCGCTTGGCCTTCAAGAGGGACGGAATCCTCAGCATCATGTCGGGCCCGAGGCCCACCTCAACGGATTCCCTTTACCCAAGAAACTTGTCGAACATCACGGACTCTCTCAGTACTTCAGAAATCCCCGTGTACCTGGACATGGAGCCGACAAAGCCTTCACTGTTCACCAAGCATAAAACAACGCATCGTCAGTCCTACAGCGCCGCTTGGAAACGTGCGGGTGTGGACGAGGCGACGTCGCCTGCTGAATGTGACGTGCTGTTACAGAATGAGAACGGTCATATCATGGGAGCCGCGTTTAGGACGGTGTACTTTTGGAGGGATGGCAGATTGGTGACTCCGAGTAGTGTGACTGGGTGCAAGATGGGCGTCTCGAGACGATGGGCAGTGGAAAATGCGGATGTGAAGGAAGCATTGATCACAGCTACGGACATCAGCGATGGCGAGACGGTTTGGCTGAGTTCGGCTGTAGGGGGCTTTATACAGGGAAAGGTCACTATGGAAAGAGAGACTCGAGATGAATAAGTTTCATGATTCACGGCATCCCAATCAAGAATCTCCAGAGCTCTCGGATGGATCATAGATGTTACATGTATTCATGGCCCGTCTTAGCATAATGTGAACGGCATAAGTACAAAGACCACTGTCGCAAAGTTCGAATATGTTGTGTCTCGTTTCGACATGGTTGCAAAGTAAAAACACTGACGACCCGAAGAAGCTCCGAATGTCGACTCCATCAACTGGCCAAGCAACTGCAACATTCCGAAGTTCAGTTTTCTATGGATGCTACACACTTGTATAGCTGGCAATTAATCCATAAAGTTCTTGTTTCGACGGGGTCATGGTGCAAGTCGGTGCTCCTACGTGTACGATGATGATGGGAACTTGATGGCACCTAGGCCTGCCAGGTTCTCCTGCTTACTTTGGGCAAGTTGACAACACATCTAAGGATATGCAATAGTTTAGTATCACGTCTTACCGTACCTATCTGGGAGATGAATTGATGCTGATAATTCTGCTACGGATACCACCTCGCGCATTGCAAGTTTCCGAACCGGTCGTTCTGAGACTAGTGAGGATCTTGGATCTAGCCGGAATCATGCACTCGCGAGGTAATGGTTGACGGACTGCCGCAATTCACACAAGAATTACCTATCAAGCCAAGAGCACGAGCTACCCACCAGAGTTGTTGACGTAGGAGAATATCTGGATTCTAGAAATGTCCGCTTAGTCCTGACGAAAGGCGCAAAGATCACTACGTAGCTCTGAGTTACTGCGGGGATGGTGCAATGTCCCCTGCCCTGACGGCCGAAACCCTGGGGCCTTCTCAAGACTCCATTGCCGTCATAGAGTTTTCTCGGAATTCCCAAGATGCCATCACGATAACTTGCAGTCTGGGTTTTCGTTTCTTATGGACAGACTGTCTTTGCATCCAACAAGATTCCGGTCGGATCGGGAGAATTAGTTTCAAAGAATTGGTTTAATTTACCGCAACTCAACAATGACGTTTTCTGCTATGGTATCAATAGGAAGTAGAGAAGGTATACTCAAGTCATATCATGCTCAAACAGCAAGGAGTACGCGTGCCACGAGCAAAGTTTTGAACAGTCAACACAGTCTCGTGGCTACTGGCTGGCGGAAAGATCAAAACGAAGAGGATCTTCGAAGCTTGGATAGGAACAGTGCGTTGCAAACGCGATGTTGGACACTTCAAGAGTATATGCTGTCACCAAGGCAAACCCTATATGGCCAGAAAGTGATTTACTGGAGGTGCCCACAGCATCTTGTCTCACCAGATGGCCTTCCCCTGGTAACAAATCACCGCAGTCTGCCTATAAAGATCTCACGCAGGCCCTTTACTCTGGAATTCTGGCCTCTCTCTATCCCGAACCCTGAAAACAAATGTCATCATGTGTGACTACTGCGAAGTAGTTAACTCATATACCCAAAGGAACGTTACATACCGTTCAGACAAACTGCCGGCCTTCTCGGGTATTGCACAACGTCTACATCCAGTTCTTGGAGGGACAATCTGGCCGGTCACTGGACTTCGGAGTTTCGGCGCGGCCTCCTTTGAATCCCCGAGGGAAACTTCTGCTATCAGGAAAGAGACAACTGTCGCGCCCCTTCATGATCACGGCCGTGACTGACGATAGAGTACTCCCATTTGAGGAGTTGATAATAGTAGGGCCGAGCCCTTCGAGTGCTCAACTCTTAGAATACGTTATCCACCCAAGAATTCCCGATAATTCATACGGGGAGATTGTGTTCGCAAAACGTATCCTCAAAGCTTTTACGATGCCATCGATTCGTAGCCGACAGATCGTTAGTACATACCATAACACTGCCTCCATAGGACATGCTACCTTCGATGACCCGGCTGCGGCTGTGGACAAGAACAAGATAGCGCCTTCAAGTCTCCTCAGAGTGAATGGTGGTGATCGAGACTACGTCGCCTCGATTGCCACTGGACCGGGAGACAAATCGAACTGAGAGCTGAATACGGATGTTTCCGCGGCGACAAACATGCGCTGATGCTCGTTCATACTGATGATTCTAGCGAGGAAGAACCCGGGTTGGCCGATTCTGAGACACTTGGTCTAGTCATCCGTGAAGCGACAGGCGAGGCCGAGGAAGAACATACGAGAGAGCAGGATTCGCCCGGATGCAGACGCCCAAGTTGTCTTAACTCAAGACTTGGACTGGCGTGTCTTGACAATGGCCTGGTGCGGGTAGTGCCAACGTTGAGTTTGAGTCTTTTAGCCGTGCAACTCTAGAGCATACCTTGATCCATCGCATTCAAAGTTGAGCGCGTGTCAGTGAGGTGACATCCAGACCAAAGTGCATGTGCCCAGTCAAGACAGGGCGCATGAGTCGTGCAAACCCGAGCAAACAAATCTCCTCTCAACCCCACCATCACGAACCTTGTCAAACGCCCGTCTAGATTTCCTATTTCATTCAATCTTCCCATCCCACCCTAGCCGCGACCCCGATACGACTCCTCTTTAACTGCGGGGGAAACATTGGCATTGACCGGCCTTTAAACCAGTTTAAGCCCATGGGCCATCCGATAGACTGATGCGGCCCGGGTGGAGCCAGGCACATCTGCACAACCGCTGCATGATGTCGCATTTTGTTTATAAGCGCCCGAGTCCGAGTGGTCGTGTCCGTCAATGGGACGTTTACCCCGATAAGTTTACTCAGCCCAGTCGTTTCCCCGCGTTGTTTCCCCGACTCATCCATCATGTGGCTTTTCCTTACCCCTGGGGAACTGGTGGAGATCTTGGAACTACCGGAACGATATTTCAATGGTGCGCGTAGAATCGTGATGACCTCACCTGGGCCGAGGGTGGCATTGAGTCAATTCCGGGGAAGACGGGGCCGTGCGGAGAGACGGTTGCATTCTCGCGCACGGAAAATGGCCTGCAATTGACTTATAAACATGAGTATTCCACGGCAGACTGCGGTGTTGTTGTAGGAAGAGTTGTGGTAGTTGCGAACCTCTGAGAATCTCAACCCGACCTTATCGGATCATCAACCATGATCTCCGTCGCGTTTACACTTCTGACGGCGCTCGCCGCCCGCGCCTCGGCCAAGACCCATAAGACGCCGACACCTCAGATGGGATGGAACAGTTACAACTACTACAATTGCTACCCCAATGAGACGCTGATCAAAGAGAACGCACACGCCTTGATCAACACAGGTCTAGCCGACGCCGGATACACCACCGTGACTACCGACTGCGGCTGGCCGGCCAAGGAGCGCTCCGCTGACGGCGAGCTCGTGTGGAACCCGGCGCTGTTCCCGTCCGGAGGCGGCAAGGAGCTCGGTGATTATATCCACAATCTCGGCCTGAAATTCGGCGTATACTCCGGCGGCGGATACTACCAATGCGGTTCCACAGACCAGCCCGCTTCTCTCGGTGAGTAGTGATTACCCGGAACTCCAATTCTTAGTGTAGTGACTAGTTCTAACAAGATTTTCAGACCATGAGCTCACCGATGCCAAGTCATTCGCCGACTGGGGCGCAGATTCCCTGAAGTACATCCACCAAGGAGTATAGCCCTTGAATGGTCAGGTGCTAATGTGAGGTGCACATCAGATACGATAACTGCTACGCGGTCGAGCCCACAGTTATGGTCGACTACGTTTCCGAAGAAGCCGTTTCACCGGATCGCTTCGTAGCGATGGCAGATGCGTTGAACACGACGGATCGAGACATCCTCTACCAAGTTTGCCAATGGGGAACCGGAACTGACCTGGGTATCTGGTGCGTCGTCCACGGTAGCGAAATTCTCTCAAGCATTCACAAGGAACTAACTTGGTCACTAGGGCGCCCAAGATTGGCAACAGCTGGAGAATCAGCAACGACATCTACAACGGCTGGCGCAGCATTTGGCGGATCACGAACCAAGTTGTTCCTTTTTACAAGTACACCGGCCCAGGTGCTTTCCCCGACATGGACATGTTGCTGTGAGTAGTAAACTTCTTTCTGTAGGAGCGCGCCGTTTTAATTCCGGCGCTGACAACATCATCCCAGCATTGGTCTCAGCGCCCTGTCGATTGAGGAGGAGAAGTTCCACATGGGAATGTGGGCCATCAACAAGTCTCCCCTTACACTCGGTGCCCCCGCTATCCCCGGTCTTGTCCCGGAATCAGCCCACGAGATCCTCGTCAACAAGGAAGTCATCGCTCTCAACCAAGACCCCCTCGCCAAGCAGACAGAACTCGTCCGTCGCTATACCGAGGAGGAGTGGGACGTTTGGGCCGGCGAGTTATCGGGCTCCCGCCTCGTGGTCGGCCTGGCAAACTGGAAGAACGATTCCCAGGCCGTGAGCGTCGACCTCGCGGCCGTCTTGGGTGTCGCCTCGGCCAACGCCCGTGACGTATGGGCGGCGAGTGACATTGGCTCCATCTCGGGCACGTACGAGACGACGTTGAACGGCCACGAACTCAAGTTGCTCGTGCTCTCGGACCTCTCCACGACGGCACCCGCCGTCGACGCGTCAGCCGGATATTACACGGCCACTGACGCCGCGCTGTCTGGCTCAGCCTCCAAGGTTACTTGCGCAGAGGGTCAGTGTCTTCCGAGCAGCACAAAGGTGGGGAATATCGGTTCAGGGGCCGCGGTCACGTTTGAGGGCGTCGAGGCCAAGTCAGAGGGCAAGAAGCTGCTGGGCGTTGACTTTATCAACTATGAGATCGCCCTCGACTCCGCGTGGCAGTTTGGGTCCAATACCCGCAATTTGACCATCTCCGTCAATGGTGGTACCGAGAAACGGTGGGCCTTCCCCATCTCCGGGGGCAACTGGTTTGACACTGGCCGCTTGCTCGTCGAGGTTGATGGCTTCAAGGGTGATAGCTCGAACACGGTGGAGTTCAAGTCGTTTGGAAGTGATTGGGCCCCCGACTTGGTTGGTTTCGAGGTTTTCGAGGCCAGCTAGAGTCTCGAGCAAGCAACTTGAAATGATCATTCATAGGCGAGATTATGAGAACAAGACAATCTTGAATTCTTACAATGA